ACTGTAAAGTTATTTGTTCCCATTCATACCTTTCTTTTACAATTGTTACAAAAACACAAATGTGGTTGATATTGTCGTTTGCTTTATTTTACTTTTGATTAGAAAATGGAAGAGAGATGCGTGTAGTTTATTGTATGTTCTATATGCCGGTAACAGAAAAGAAGTTATGTAAGGGATAGGGTTGGGAAGTATATGTTATTGCAGTAATGAGAAAATGCAAAGAGGGACTTAACTCTGAGTCCTGTTATTTAGGGATAAAAAATTACTAAATTACTAAAAATTAACAAACATATCCTCCATCCTGGATGATTGCGAGTCATGTGAAGTTTTGTCCAATTATAAACGTTGGGAACTAACATATTTTTCAACGGCACAAACGGACTTTAGGTTCATAAAATGGCTTGTGTCTTTAAGAATAGATAAAATATTAGACGTCCTCTTAATTGTTAATAGCAGCCTTTATGTGTATATAAAGAAAAAGAATTGCTGATCAAGATATTCAAATAATATTGTGTTTTTGGTTTTATAGTTATATTTAAAAGATTTTTGATGTATGTTATTTTACAAAAAGTAGGACCATGCCGAGTATGTAAACTGGCGTAATCAAATAGAAAAAAGTAAGCTCTATTTTTTCTTAAGGGGAGAAGATGGCATGCTGCTTCACTGAAATGATGCTTCTGCATTCATTTTATGTGGTATTGAATATAGAAATATTATTTTTTCACATCTGCAGTAAGCGAACTCATGAAATGCAATGGCTTTCTTCATTTCTTTTTTCTGGTAGATAAAATTCAGAATGCTTATGGGAATTCTAAAGAGCTGCTTTGCATATCTTCAAAATTCTTAGATATTTGTGAAACACCAAAGCCCTGTTCATTTCTCACATTCCTTTCTAATTGTGAAGGATGATCTTAATTCTAAACCACATTGGTTTTTGAGGATTTCTTCATAAAGTATTAGAGGTTGCATGAAAACACAGCTCCATTGAAAAGAATCAGCCTCATCCATTTGTCAGATTTGATATTTTTTATTTCTGTTTTCTGTTTTTATTTTTTTGTTTGTTTAAACTTTGTTCTATTTTGGGCATGAAATAGCCATTAAAAGGTCAGTGAAAGAATTGAATGAAAATCCAGCTTCCATTTTATGTTAGTTGCATTGGGAATGGCAAGCGTCAAAAGGATAGACGTAGTCCTGTTCTAGAGATGAAAGTATATTAGTAAGCTCAGCCATATTTGAGTTTATCTACATTTTCACATTTCCTCACCAGTGTTGTAGTCCAGAATATGGATACTCCCATTTTTATTCTTATTTTATGTGGTCACACATATAAAATGCAGTGTTATGTACTTACTGATATTTATTATAAGGATGAAGTGGTTGAAGAAAAATCTGAATGAATGAATTATAAATTGAAATACTTATTCCAGTTGTAAATAAAATTTACATGGATTTTTTTTTAATGTTAGAGCTAGTATAGGTAAACGTCTTTTATATGTCATTCATGTGTTACAGTTTCTCGTAAGTATTATCGAACGCATCCGTCCATACTAATAGTATCCGTCTTGAGAAATTCACTTGTGATAATTGAACACCCAAATAGTATAAGATATATAGGAGTAGTTTGTATTTTTGTAACTGATATCAAAATTACCTTTAAGCTTGAATAAAATTATACCGTCCAACACTCGTCACCCTAATGCACAGTAGGTGTTCTCCATGCAATATATATAGATAGGTGTACCTTGATATATATGTTTGTTTATTTTACAGGGTCATGAATTGTTTTCCATGAGTGATTAATTGATGTGAGAACCTTAGTGATTTGATCTGCCCAGTTTTGCTAATGATTTCACTTTCCAGCTTAACTTTAGAGATGGTGATTAGTTTTCCAGATATTTTGGAGTTCTTTTTTATTATTATGAACATTGTATTCATTATTATTGTTGTTAATATCCCTATCATGGAGTATGCGCAAAAAGCAAACATTGCAATAATGGTGTAAATATCTAACTCTAAGGCACTGTATATTGCCTTGAATGTAACACTTGTCAGGTATTCAGCTTTGTAATTATGATGTTAATGCAAAACATCATAAATTCTCCATTTGTTAGACTCAAAAGTCTAGAAGTTGCAGTGCTCAAAAATGCTGTTTACAAACATGACCTCAAATCTTTTTCAGCAATGCCAAGATCATTATTTTTACATGATGCTCTTAATTTTCATTAGTTATATTAGTGTGGTTTCTTTTGGTGCTTTTTTTCAAATGTAATTTACAACCAAGTATGAACATGAATGTCTTCTGTGCATAAATATCCTATGATTGATCTTACAAAGATATAACCAAAAAATGTGATTTTACAATTGCAGTAGATTGTATGATACTATGCAGTGCCTCAGCATTTTTCTTTTTCTCTCTTTCTATGGCTCTGTTTCTCTTTCTCTCTGTTCTTCTTATTTTCTTTTCCTTTATTTCTTTCTTCCTTTCTTCCTTTCTTTCTCCCACAAAAATGTACTGTTACTTTCTGTTGCTCATTTCAACAACATAGGCAGTATGCAGAATAATTCAGCTTGCATAATGTGATGTAGAAGGAAGTTGAGTGAAGATGGCATTATTTTTACTCCAGCCGACACTGCATATTGGTCTATGTTTATTCATATATATGTTCATTTTTTAAACTGTTTTGTGTAATTCTACAGTATGATTTCACATGTGACTAACACCCTTTGAGTTAATACAGTGAATTATAATATTAAGAGGAATTCTGAATGAAACAAGAATCTCGTAAGATATCAGAATTTCAACAGACAAAGATCTGGGGCATCGGGTCCAGGTTTCGTAGTTCAGCGTAAGCGGCTGGAAACTTACCAAACATTAAAAGGGCATTCTTCATATTGTCGCATTGTGGCATATCTCTTACTTTATATTATTTACTCCTTAATTTGGAAACCAGAAATTAATACTGATCTTTTGATACAGTAGGGGCCAGATGTTTTCATGTGATAAAAGAATTTTTGCACATGTATGCGCAAAGTAAATACATATTTTTATGGAGTAGGGATTCATGGTAATTTAACCAAGTCACTTGTTTCAGCATATACCAGTGGAGTAATTTAGCTTGCTGTTTCTCTCTCATTCTGACTTGAACTTTGACTACATAGCATCATGGTATGTGTCGGATTGGCATTATTTTGTGAAGGTTACGGTCAATGGAAGAAGAGCTGTATATTACAGTGCAGGGATATAAAACTCAACCCTCCATTTTATACAAAGAACATATTTGTGGTGTATGTATGTTATATCCCATTTTTATAGTACTTCATGGAAATGAAGATGTATTGTTGGAAAAGTATTTTGACTACATTCTTTTATGAATTGCATCAGGCAGTTGATGCTGAAAAGTATTTTGTGATGTTTTAAAGAATTAACATTGTTTAAGACTTGTGCACATCAAGAATGATAGTAATAAATATTTCTTATTTTTTACCATTTTTTCTATAACCTTTTTCATGTTACTTCAGTGGAAATTCACCAAAGGTCTGAAACAAGTTTTTTTAAAGATTTCATTTATATTTAAAAGATCAAGACTAGTTTTTTTTTTTTTTAAGGTCTGAAACAAGTTTTTTTAAAGATTTCATTTATATTTATCTAGATGGACATGCATCACAAACCACTGTTGGCAGAGGTTAATTTAATTATATATTGACACAAAGTTGCATTACATGTATCATTAATCCCATGCAAATAAAACAAATCTTTTCTCTTTCTCAAAGGAAGTCTACTCAGACTTCTAACAATATTCATGGCTTACTAGGCCTACACGGAAGTAAAACCAGAGTATCGGGTTCTCTGTAGAAACCTAAAAGGGAGAAAGTCAGCTGGCCATTTGCATTTTTCATTCGTTTCGTCATATGCATAGCATTCCTAAGTTCCATACATACATGTCATTCCTGTTATTAGTCAATACAATAGTCCTTATCAATAATATTTATTTATTAGATCCTACATTGAAGAAAAATATCCAGCATATGGAACTTTGAGATGGTATATTACTGTTTAATTTTACCTTTAGTCACATTAAGATGATCTCCATATTGGGACATCATAAAGGTTTTGAATTACAATAATGATAGCAACATCAAGCACAATAATATGGCATTATTATATTATTGCTACTTATATTAAGAATGATGGTGACATTAATAGTAGTAATTGATGTTCTGAAAAAGTAATAATACTATGGTAATAACAACAATAGCAATAATAATACTGGATATTGATTGTGATAATGTTAAAAATGATGATAATTGTAATCATAATCATCCAAGAAAAAAAAATTATAGTGCTGATGACTATAACAACAATTGTTATAATGATAATAACAACAATAATACCGATAAACAATAATCATAATGACAAATGATAAGGATACACAGTTAATGCAGATCCATTATTTTGTCTCTAGACCATATCACAAAACCCAAATGCTCCACCATATTTAATCAATACCTTTCTTACTACCACTGGGAATATTTCGCGGATTCCTTTTGCACACAACCTGTATCCTCTAATTGAATCTGCTTTTTTTTTTTTAACCTCTTAGCTTACCCAGTGTATTCACCGTCTTTACCCTTATCCTTATTCATCCTAATCGATACCATACTATCCTAAATTGCAGTATGAATTTTGTGTAGCACTTCTTCTCTCAAAAATTCGCCCCCATTTTTACATATTACTATACCTCATATATATATATACTATATATATATAATAATATATATATATAATATATATATATTAATATATATATATATCCTTTTATGGCTAGCACATTTATTTGTTTTTGAGCCATAAACCATTAAGAACGAATTAAAGGAATAGGAAAACGGACTAAAAATGAGTGAATATATTCGTATGTTATTCTTCATTACTAGCCGTGGTGTTTACTTTTAGTTTTATATCTTTTTCACTCTTGTGTTTTTTGTTTTTTTTCTTTCTCTCTATTTCGATTTCAATTTCAATTTCAATTTCAATTTCAATTTCAATTCATCTCTCTCTCCTCTCTCTCTCTCATTCTCTTTCTCTCTTCTTCTCTCTCTCTCCCTCTCTCTCTCTCTCTCTCTCTCTCTCTCTCTCTCTCTCTCTCTCTCTCTCTCTCTCTCTCTCTCGCTCTCTCTTCTCTCTCTCTCCCTCCTCCCTCCCTCCCTCTCTCTCTCCCTCTCCCTCTCCCTCTCTCCCTCTTCCCTCTCCCTCTCCCTCTCTCTCTCTCTCTCTCTCTCCTCTCTCTCTCTCTCTCTCTCTCTTCTCTCTCTCTCTCTCTCTCTCTCTCTCTCTCAATCCATTTGTTAAAAGCTTTTGAGAACCTTATAGGTGTATTACCTGGCTACTTCCATGGGAATTCCCGTAACAATATACCTGCAGGCGTCTCGCAGCAGCCTGACACTCCTGTAGAAAGTGGCAAGTTTCAATCTCACAAACTTCACGAAATCCAAGACAGTCGGCACACTGCAGACCATCCCGCTGGCCCCTGTCCCATGCTGGTAAGACTGCACGTTCTTGTCTCCATCAGGTGTGTGGATGGGTGGCTTGGCTTCGTCTGGTTTAGTCTTACAGTCTTTGGAATCCGATGCGGTCTTGGGTTTCTTGCTTGTGGGTGTGAAATAATTTTGGGTGATGGGGTTGCTGCAGCCTTTCGTAGGTTTAGGGGCACCAGAGTGTTCCGTGTTGGTGTTGCCGGTGATTAGCTTCTGTATGGTTGTATTCACGAAGGTGTACATGTAGGAGGAGGGCGTCGCCGAAGTGGTGACGACGGAGTGGAAAGAGCCGCTGGGAAGGGCCATGGACTCGCCCTCACGGAGAACCACTGAACGAACCTTTAAGTCTTTGGCTTCGTTCGAATCGTCGGGGAAGCATTCTCCAAAAGCGAGGAAGTTCTTCGGGTGACAACTGTCTTCGACGATTTCTGCCGTGTTGTTCAGCTGTACTACCTTCCAGGCTTCTTTCTGTATTAGCTCTTCCGCCCTTTTCTCGTCGTCTTGGTGGTCAACGGAGGCAGTCCCGCCTTCCACCACTGGGACGAGAACACGCACTTCCCCCTGCAGGACCTCTATCGTTACGTTGGAAATATCTTCACTGAGGAAGTTTTCCAGCATCATCCCTGGAAGACGCAAAAGGAATCGCGATTCGACACGGAAATAATAATTGAACAAAACTGAGGTAAGAACAAGTCAAGGTGAACTGACAGGTTATCAATCGAAATGTATTAATCACTCGCAGACATTCAAAGTATTTAATTCATTTATATGTGTATAAGATTTCAGTAAATAAATGGCAGTAACTTTCTTCACTCACCGGGAAAGTCCGCTACAAATATCCTGTCCGAATAAGGAGATACTTGTCCTTCCTGGAGTTCTCTCAATTTATCACGCCATTGACTCAGCTCGACCAGCACCGGCAACACCCACGGCGTCTGAAGCGGGAAGGAATATAACCAAATGTGTCTTTTCTCAGCCCTTGTCGAGATTCAGTAACAGTACACAATATCAGAACACAAAACACTTTACAGTAGAATAAGAATACGCAGAGCTTTTCGAAATTATCAATACAAAAGAATATGAAATGTCTTCCAAAAAATACGAAATGTCTTACAAAAAAATACGAAATGTCTTACAAAAATACAAAAACAAAAAGAATACGAACACGCAAACCTTATCGGAATTCAGAGTCTCGCCCCCTTGACAACAAACACAATCTTCCAGAACACAAAAACGAGAAAAGCAAAGAGAGAAAGACACACATAACCAACCTTCTCCCACGGTGACCAGGGAGCTGTGAGAATATCCACACTAGGGTCGTACACTCGCTGCTGAAACCGCCCATTCAGGGACCTCCAGACGTCGAAGTGCAGGGAGATGTTGGCGTAGCCGTGGGCGCGGAGGCGACTCTCGATGCAGCGCCCATACTGCACGGCCATGTCCACGTGGCTGGTCCAGCGCCCGTTGTGCACGTACACCTGGAAGAGGGTGGTTGATGTTGCTGTTGTTGGTGGTGCTGGTGTTGGTGTTGCTGCTGCTGGTGGTGGTGTTGTTGATGATGCTAGTGTTGGTAGTGGTGGTGGTGGTGGTGTTGTGATGATGCTAGTGTTGTTGTCCAGTTCGTTTGCGTGTCATCGAGTTACCCGGTTTATGAATTAGGTATTGAAAATATGAAATTGTTCTTTTGCGTTTTGCGAAAAGAGGCATAGCTGAGCAATTCGTAGCAAATGTAGAAAATGAACTGATGAAAATTGAACTTCACAGGAATGTATTTTCAGCGTTTTGATTTTATCTTCATCAGACATGTCCAAAACACGTCCATGATTATATCCCTTGCGCTGATGAAGTTTTTTTTTCATCAGTTCATTTTCCATATTTGCTTCAATGAATACTGTCAAGTTCCGTGCTTATAAAGCCTATCAAGAAAGTATTCAACCAATTAAACATTTCTGTATCCATAAACCTTAT